CGATTATACATGACTTGTACCTGTGTGATAGCCCGGGGGTTGCCCCGGCCTCAAATCTAATTTATTTTGGCTAGGCAGGGAGCAAGGGTTATAATTGAGTAGCGAGTTGGCCAGGGGAACAAAGAAGAGACGTTTGTTCGTGAGGAGTATGTCGCGCGAGTTGGTCCGACGTATCACGAAGAAGAACAGCACCAACTGCAGTGGACACACACACGTGGAAACCCAGGTCGTTCTCCCTGCGCAGAGGGCGAGGGGTGTCTCTGTCTCGGTCTCACTCTATATGAGAGACATGGTATTTGATGGTGTATGGACACCTGTACCGCCGCAACCGGGTGTCGGACATTCTGACTTCCCGTGGGAACCTCGAGGGATGTTGCTTTTCCGATTAGTTTTCCAGGAGAATCGCAGTAGAGCTCTAGAGTTGTTGTTGTTGTTGTCTTCACATTAAACTCGTGTCAGTTCCTAATCCCAAATCTAGCAAAGACGCGGTCCGTGGTAACAAAAATGCCAGAGCCATCAGAAGATCTAAATAAAACGCAAACTAACAAGAAACACAAGCCCGAAGAGGTGCACCTACATCCCTGCAGCACGTTTGCGTGCCCAAAACTGAACCATCCGTCCACACACTACATTTGGCTACAGCAGTATCATCCCCCCTGTCCCACATCAGTACGGACATACGAAGGTACTGGGTAGAGAGAGATCTGGACGGTTTTTAATGTGAAGACAACAACAACAACAACAACAACAGCACTTTACCAAAATGAATGTTTGTCGACTACAGCGTACAGCTGCCTGGAGTGCTGCCTGTACAATAACATCATGGTAGGCATGGCACAAGTTCGGGGCGCGCAACCGCTGTCTGAAGTGCTGTCAGAATGCGTCCGTGGACATACAGTGAAAAAGAACACCCAACCAAAGCCATCATTACAATTGACAATCACCGAATCTACCCCCGATCATCTGTGTTGGACACAGCAGTGTAAATAATGGACACGTTGGACACTGACTAGGAATCGGTCCACATTGAAGGGGTCTTCCACGATGCAGGTACACAATAAAGGCACCCGGGGTATCCGCGCCATCTCTGCCGCGTCTCTCTACAAAACCAGTGACGTCATCACACACACACTTAACACCGATGTTCAGGAAAAAACGGAAAATATTTGACAACACAAAATGTTTCTCCGTGCGTCACGGTTCGATGTTGTCCGTGTGCTCTGATGCCGCTGCTCCGATGCCGCTGCTCCGATGCCGCTGCTCCGATGCCGCTGCTCCGGTGCCGGTGCTCCGGCGCCGCTACGGCCAGTCCTAGCACGACCAAACTCGACCCGCTCCGTCCGTACACGCTCTCGTTGCTGTCCTTCCCAGTCGGTTCCTCGCTTTCTCCCTCGTTGCACTAAGGGTTCTTGGTCTGAAAATTCTCGCGCCGAAGGGTCAACCAGCCCACTCAGCTCGTCACTACCTGTTCCCTCCTCCCCTTTGATGGCGAAACCAGGTTACTGAGACAGTACAGCTCCCTCTAGCAAACCTAGGGCCGTCCGTCCACCTTTCTGATGGCCTCTGCCTCCCCGCACAAAACTGAGATGGGCATTGCTGTCTACACCGACGGCCATGAGGCCCGCGCATCCGCACTTTAATACCTGACGCACCAGTGCCGACCCAACTCTACCACTACGCACGCCTCGCGGCGGGTGCGCCGCAGCAAGAAGGTATCGGTCCCTTGAGGGTGAGTCTAGCCATGCTCGCTAGAAAGACCCCCCCCCCCTCGCTATGGGCCATGCCTAAGCAAAAGCCTTGCCGAGGCAGCGAGGGGAAGAAGGAAGTGTGGCCACTCCAATTCGTGCTTCAACCGAGCGCAATCGTACGAAAGAAGATAACCATCCACCTGCTTCCTCCCATTCAGAAATCAGGGCGGTGTCGCAATGAGAGCCCGACGGGCGTTCGCTCCACGTCTATACCCCACTTTTTTTGCTTTTTTTGTGTACTAACGACCGGTAGAAAACATGCACGCACGTCGTGCAACCGCTAGGACACGCCAACGGGCAGGTACGCAGGCAAGATACGCAGGAAATATAATATACTACTTCAGTAGATAAACTACGAGAGGGAAAAGAGGGAGGCGGCGTGAATGCCCGCCAAAACAAAAATGTAGTAATAAAGTGAACGCGCGCAAATAAGCAAAAAACAATGGAGTACACAAGACCGGGCTCAGCCTGCCAGCTTGTCCGTTGCACCACTCAATGGCGACGAAACTGAGCCGGCGAGAGGACGTGAACGTTGAACGTGCACCCCGCCGCCCCTGACTCTCTGGAGAGGCGACTACAAGTGAACTGTATTACTCGCCAGTCGACAACAAAGCAACGTCAGAATTAACTGGGGACGCACCAGTCCAATTTCTAGATGCATACCGCCGCCATGACATATTATGCGCACTATCGACCGTATTTTGATGGCGCTCACAGGCAAGGACACGAAAGAGGCACGCAGTTGCAAAGACGAAGTCTGCCGTGCTTACTGCAAGGGACGAAGCAAGTACACATACTTACGCCATGTATTACTCGGCAGACGACAAAAAAGCAACGCGCTGCCGTCTCCAAGGGGAAAGAGGGACTCATCTGGGCGAGGATTTTTGCCGGATTGTGACTGTTTTTTTTTGCGAACGACGCGAAAAGCGCTCTCTTCGGCTTTTGGGCGGCCTTGATGCCAAGGCGAACACGACAGCGATAGCAACCCCGCTGATGATATACATGTGCCATTCAGCGTGTGTGATGGACGGTGGTGACAGCCATGGTGGGGATAAGATGATCGATCGTCGAACGACATGGATGACAGGCGGGTGGAAAAACACCAAGAATCTCCCTTTGAACATGTCCGAAAATTCCAACTGAGGGGGTGAGAGGGAGACGATGTGTACGTTGAACGTGTCCACCCTGACAACAAAACTGTGTGAACTCGCTACACAACGAATTGAGTGAGGCGCACGAGTCCAATTTCTACATCTACCTGTACCACCGCCATCATCACGGCCTATTGTATCCATATCACCATAAGTTTCCCCTATTAATATAAGGGGGTACATCACACAGCAGTTGTCCCACGTTGAAAGTGCAGCTCTCCGACAAAACCCCGGTTGAACATTCCCGAAAATTCGGGTGTAATACGGTGCCGGAACTGAGGGGGTGAGAGGCAGGCCACGCGAACGGTGAACGCATATACCCTGCCTCCCCGGACGTTTCTACAACTAAACTGTATGAACTCTGACACCACAACAAAGTATTGAGGCGCACGAGTCCAATTTCTACACCTACCTCTACCGTCGCCATCATGACATTGTATGCAAATGACCAAACCACACTTTCCCCCAATTTTTTTCCCGCCGCGAATTCTTCGAAATTTGAGAAGCATACGTCATGCATGCGGGGTGCAAAGTGAATGTTGTCGCCTGCTGCTGCTGCTAATTATTGATTTTGTTGTTTTGGTTGTGGTTGCCTTCGATGTTGTACTGCTGGTGCTGCTGATAAGGTTTGTTGCTTGGTGGTAGCTACCTTCCGTGGCCTTGCTTAGCAGGGCGGGGAGCTGTGAGCGCGCTCGCTTTTGCAAGTGTCGGGGAAATGTACCCTCGCACATCACATCGTCCTCCGACGTTGAAAGTGTAGATCTCCGACAAAGGGAGGTGCTGCTGCTACTGTGTGTTGGTGCGATTCGTGGTTTGTCCAAGCACGGAACCCACACATGACGGACGTCCACGAGACGGGAGCGTGTGTTATCTTGTGTTGGCTCACTGATCTGGCCCGAGCAAAGGCCTCTACCCTTCTTCGCCGAATAAACCCTCCAACATTTTGTCAAGGCCACCGCGATTACGATACCACCTCACTCCGATGAGTACTTACTTACCGTAATTGTGCGTGTTATTGCACCCATCGTTGATTTCGCAACCATCGGTGTTATGGAACCGGAGTGCGCAAAAATATCGAGAACGGCATGATTTTTTGCATTTCCGCACCGGTATCGGTGTTAACGCACCCGGTGCGATATCAACGATATAAAACCTGCTTAGGACGTAAATTTGCGTGCTTCCGTAACATACCGGTACCCTTCGGGCCACGTGTGGAACTGCATGTAGCGAACAGCTGAGAGGGTCCGGTAGGTACCAATTGGGGCGCCATTCTTTTCCTGTATGCGTATCGTACCGTCGAGGTATGCGCGTAGAAATGATCAAGTTTTTCTACGGTAATCTGCACATGGAATGCACTCACTCACAAAACCAGGTACACAGCACACATCCCGCACCTCCAACCAATCGAACAAGAAGGAGTTCGCACATGGTACTACAATTGTACCGGTTCGATGCCCCTTGAGGCAGACAAAGACAGAGGGACGCACCAGCCGACAGATGAGGGGCTTGTGACCAACAAAGAGGTTGGAAGAAGAACGATACTGTACCGTGTACCTTTCCCAGCAGGGAACCACAGCGTCTGTTGTCTTTGGCACACGCTACCCAAACTCACATCAGCCACTTCACTTGAGTACCGCATCACGCGCAAGTATGCGGTACTTGTACCAGAAACGCCTGTGTTCGTTTCTTGAGTATCGAACCTATCGGTGTCGTCGCACTTGGGTGCGTTCACTCAGCACGGTAAAATGACCCGTGTGACTTCTTCCGTATTGCACCCATCGGTGTCATCGCACCGGGGGTGTGTTGGAAATCTAGAACGAAATGACTTTCATCTCCGCATTGGCAGCGGTGCTATGGCACCTGGGTGCGATGAAAAACCAACAAGCAATGATTTAAAAGACGATCGCACCCCGGTGCCGTAACACGCACAATTACGGTAGTACCTTGTAATTTTTGGTAGGAAAGAATCATCTGTTTTTTCTCGGAAAGACTTGGGCAAAACCGTTCAACAAGAGACGCCCCTACCGCTGTTGTCCTCCTGCAGGTGCCGTTTGACTCCCAAAATCGTGTTCTCACGTATGGTATTTTTGGAGCGGTGGTGATGCGAGCTATTTTCATTGGTCTTGGTGAGGCGGCCATGAGCGTGTTTCATCCGATCCTCCTGGGATTCGCGGGGATACTTCTTTACTCCTCCTACACTTTGTTGTCCGAGAGTGAGGGCGACGGGGACGAAGATTTGAGCGACAACAAGCTCATTGCCTTTGCCTCCTCCTCCCTTGATGCTACAGAGTCGTACGACGGGGACAAGTTCTTCACCATGGTAAGTGAGGTAGGTCGTACACGTTGCTGAATTCCGCATAATGTGGACTCGCAGGTCTCCACAAGTACCCTTTAGGCTTATTATTAACCCTTAACCATTTCACGGAAAAAATCACGCTTTTTTTCAAGGAACGGTGAAAAGAAGACCCGACTTTTTGCGCTTGCTCTAATCATGATGTCATCGCAACAACCCGCTCCCTTCAGGTGAATGCACGCTTTGCTCGACATGCAACAGGTTGACTTGGTTTTGCTCTCCATAGAGCAGCGGAAATTTCACAAAGAGCAGCACCCGACACAAAGATCAGCATGCTTATAAAGACCCTGTCCACCCGGCTTGCTGTTTTCAGCTACAGGCCCAGGGAAGAGTGTCTCGCAACGCGGGTGTTGCTTGCGATTTTTTTCCGTTGGTGCTGGTTGGCGGCTGATTTTTCTTCGTTGCGACCCCCTGATTTGACCACGACCTGTCGAAAGGTAGACGAGCTCAACAATCATAGGGCGGCAGCGGCGCTGACGGCCAACATCACATACATGATCAATCCGAAAGAATTAGCGTGTCGGAGGCCCTGTTGCGCTAGTACTGCGTGGTGCCGTGGTTTTGAGTTGCTGCCTCTCCGACCAAAAACAGGCCATCTCACCGCATTTTTCAAGCGGCTAATTGGCAAGGTGACACCCCTCTCTCACACACCTTGTTGAGCGGCACCCGAGCCCCCAATACCCACGAAGTAGCACAGCGCCGGGAGTGAGTATCATATAGACAACGGAATCGAAGGAATCAGCGCGCTGGAGGCCTTGCCGCTGCTGCTATACTCGTTCTACTGTTTCCGTGTGTGCCATGTGCGGTTGAAAAAAAAAACCGACCATCAACAGCAGCAAGTGAAGTCGGAGGCATCACGCAATGTCTTGGTGTGTGGACAAACAACGTGCTGAACCCGGCTTCTGTCGCTGGTCTATCATGGCAATAGGCCTGGGCGTGAGTCTGGCACCTCTTGCTAAGAGTTCTCAGTGATGTTACAGCGCCCGCGGTGCGCCTGTCCGATGCTTGTGTCAAAAACCCGGAACGGGGAAAAGAGCAAGCCCCAAACAATCCCGCCTCGCTCCTTTCCCGGAATCGGAGAGAAACGCCTCCATATATTTACAAGAAAACACGCTTCCGTGAAATTTTCCATGATTTTTCTTTCGTTAATAATACCCCGTATTCATTCAACGAAACACGGCTTTCTGATGTGGGTGCATCGTGAGTGACGAGGGGGATCGCATGGCCTTGAAAACTGAGCATCCATCCATGGAGCGAATTGTCTACTGCGCTGAGCCAATACTTGTTCCGTTCCCGCGCTGCTGCCACGGCGAACTATTTCCCGTGCCTCAGCTGGAATGCACTGATGACTGCTGCTTGTAGTTTGGAATGAATGCCAGTGTAGTTACCGTCGGCGTAGCTCGCAGCAGCATTGGGTCGTTTTCTAAAACGACGACCGCATAACATTGCATGACTACTATATAGATTGGTGGTGGAGGAGGTACCTTCTTAAACACCTCTGCACGCGCCTAAAATGGCGCTTGGCTAGCATTGGTGCTTGCGAGGACTGTCGCTCTCGTATCCACACATCAGATACATGTAGCGCCCACGACAGCTCACATGGGGTCCGTCTCCGTAACAGGTTGATGGCGTTCGTCGAGCGACCCCACTCCTCCTAGTGCTGGTGTGCGTCGAACTAAGTGACATCGTCTTCGCTGTGGATTCAATTCCGGCGGTGTTCGCTGTGACAAAGGTACGGCGCTTTTTTCCTCGCCTCGTTTTCTGTGCCGTACTCTCGGCTTGTCGAAACTACTGCTGTCTTTGCTCGAGGCACACTTCATCCCCGGTGGGATGTTCTTGGGCGTATGCTTTGAAGGATTGGAATGTTTTCAAGTTCCCCAACGTATCGTAGACTTCATGATGTCACTCATACCGCACATGTTCGCTAGTTTGGTTGCAGTTCCCTGGTGGACACCCCACCTACGCCCTTGCGCCACTTGTGTTTGGTGTGCAGGACCCGTTCATCGTCTACACTTCCAATATATGGGCAATTCTCAACCTGAGAAGCTTGTTCACGCTGCTGGCCAGCGCCGTTGAGGATTTGGTGTATCTCCGCCCCGCTGTAGCCGTAGTATTGGGCTTCGTCGGCTGCAAAATCGGGGGTGACTTCTTCGGATACGATGTATCAACCGAGTTGTCTTTAGGAATCATCACGGGTGTGCTGGCGGCCGGCGTGGCAGCATCATTAATTCTGCCTGGAGACAAAACCGATCCCACGTAGAAAAGTGGTGCATAACCACGTAAAATGTACTTGAAGTAATCGCTTAAACGCTTAAACCATGATTTCTAATACACCGGAAATCTGCCCTTAACAAATAATGCAGCATCCGCTGTGAGAGTCCAATGCCGCCTTGTTATTGTCGCGATAGGTGAGGAAGTCCACCACCTCTTGCTGAAAGTTGTCGACACAACTGTATTCCCAGCCATCGTAAATTGCCTGGTCTTCGCGAGACAGGACAACCTGCGATGTTTACGATGGCAAGAAATCCGCGGACACGTTTCATGAAACTGGTGATACGTTCGTCAAGATGGTGTGGGTTATGTGCCAGGTGTGCCAAATCTTAGCAAGGTGGGATCGATAGATGCAGACACGCCAGTTAGCAAGTGTGCTTACCTTCGAGTCAGTGTCCGCAAAGCTGCCGATAGATCTCTGAGGTGCCGCATTGATGTCCTTGTTTGGAACGTAGGGGCTCTCCACCTGATCCATGACCAATGCGTCACGGTCCAAGTTCCCGAACCATGGATGCGCCAATATCTCGTCGGCACCCATACGTCCAAGCCTCTTTTGTGGATCCTTCATCATCAGTTCTGTATGCATACCAGGAACCAAATGTTGATAAGAAACACGTCGGATAGGTAGGTGCGTTGCTGTCACAACATCGACCACGCTAACCAGCTGCCCACTGGAAAATACGCCGAACAGCGGGACAAAAAAAACACATAGCATGCTGGCCATCACTCCCCACCTCCGACATGGAGGAAGGCAAATACACCTTTTTCTTCACCACATTGGGTGTTACCGCCAGCTTGCGTGTGCACATGACAATAATAGTTCCAACCCGCAGATGCACGAATAAAACTTGTCCGAAACTGGCTCGTTCCCAACAACCCGGGTCCCATGAACTCAGGCTACAAGGCGGGGGTAATAGATGCGTCCGAGTGTTCCCGTGTGCAAAGTAACATCGAGCGACGCAAGTGGGGCCAACTACGTGATCTTACTTGTGCAGAGGTCTATCGCCAAGGAGTCGAAGTATCTTGGCGGGTACTCCGGTTCCATCTCCAATGTCGCTTTGTCCACGCGTTTTTCCTGGTGGGAGGTGGGATAGTAGCAACATCGGCAACCGCGGGAACCAAGTTAACCACCAAGCAGGGTGGCCGTGGTAGAGGTCTCGCAGCATCGAGCGAACTCCCGCTACAACAAAAAACCCCAGAAAGCCGTACCTTGTCTTGGATGGTGTCCGCACACCAGTCCATTGCCCTCTCAGTTCTGAACGGGCTCATGCCACGCAAGAACTCATAAAGGATGCAGCCAAGGCTGAACCAGTCCACGCACTCGTTGTACGGTACACGCTTGCCAGCGGAATTTCGAAGACGCATCTCTGGGGCCCAATCTGGATGAATAATGGGATGGGCGATTTGCATATTATCGAACCACAGATTTTTCATCAGGTCATTGTTCCAAATTTGATACGCAAGGCACACAAAGCCACTGGAATTATGTATTCCATCATCGAGCAAGGAGCGAGCGAAACAGGTGCCGACCACGCATCAATACCGTGGTAACACTGAGCAAGTGTAATGATGTCCTTTTCTCCAATCGGCCAGACGACAAGAGAGCTACAAGGCAACACATGCTCCGTGGGCTACTGCTAAGGAGAGACAATATCCACATCAGGCGCGATTGCCCTTTTTGCCGATGCTCTGGAAAACTTACATCCTCTGGTGCCGCACGCGCCCGTGAGGTGGGGAGTGACCTTACACGCCAGTCCCATGTCCGATATTCGTGAACGCCCATATTCGTCCAGCATCACATTCTCCGGCTTGAGGTCTCGATAAACGATGCCCTTCTGGTGGAGATGTTGGATTCCCAGAACAGTCCGCGCAGTGTAGTACTGGGCCATCACCTTCGTAAAAATACCAAGGTGCTGAAGGTGGAAACCCAGGTCACCTGGCAAAAGGTAAAAACGAACTTCCAGATTTATGCTTGTTGAGCGGACTTGCAGCCGCGCCTAGCCCACGCGTTACGCTTCCTTCGCTGAAACTTGCTGGACTCGGAAAAGCGGTATCCTATCAGGCCTGGGGCATAGTGTTGTGTGCTACGAGCAATCACAACGCAAGGACGTAGCGCTCGCCGGAAGACGCATTTGTTAGACCATCAACAAAGACGGTTCGCAATACGACACCGAAGCAAGGACACTACACGCACAACACCAAGCACGAGAGTACCGCCAAGAAAATTCAACAGTAATTGTTGTGTTATCCAAGTCTTATAACACCGTTTTGTAGCCGAAACAGACTAGACTCGCCAACCAGATGCATATGAGCACCGCATTAGTAGACTAATAAACTCGGGTGCACCGGGCAAGACAAGGCGGGTGATGAAACTGTGACACATGGGCCTCGGGTTACTGTAGGCATCGTAGTGGTTCCAGACCAGAAAGACTCACCTCCTGTCATCAAATCCAGGATGAGAAACAGGTCGTTCTTAGACTCAAACGCGTACTTGAGCGAAACCTGGTGATCCGAAAGGGTACACTCAGAGTCAAAGCTCCGGCAGAAAACGCATTTCGCCTACGCTATTAACCACCAATGATTCCACAACAAGAGTAATAATTCAACAGGAAGTCGAGCAACAACGGATCTCAACTACTCGAAGCCCTTGATTCTTACACAGAAGATGGTGCGTTGGCATCGAGTTGGCCAGGGAACATCGCAGCCATACTCAACCAAGTGAAGTAACTGCCTACACGACTGCGAAAGGAGACCGAGCTTCTACCAAATACAGCTGCAATCTACTCAGCTCTCACCACAAACGGGCTCCCAAGAGCCTCAAGAATGCGGCGCTCGTTCCAGCACAAGTCCTCTGATTGTCGAATTTTGATTCGTCGCTTGTTCATCACCTTCATTGCAAAGAGCTTGCCGGACGACCCGCGCTTACACCCTGCAAGCAGAGCATCACGTGGAGGTACGTAACAGTAACCAAAGATCAACATGCCTTAGAACCACAGAACAGTGGGGGCCCCGAGAAAGGCAATGGTGTGGCAGCTGATAATGACCGCCTTATAAGGGGCAGCCGCCATATTCAATTGTGTAGAATGTACAACAACATGATTATTCCGTTTATGCAGGGCCACCGCCTTATTCGGGGACCCCCACTGTATTACAGGGCCCAAAAATTCGGCAGCAAGCGCGAACTCCCCCCTTCCATCATGTTAGGCCTAGAGTCCGACTTACCGTTGACAGCGCCGAATCCCCCTCGGCCCAAGATACGGAAGAGGATGAAATCGTTCTCCGTCACCGGTCTGTGCTGGACATAGAGAAAGCGAGTGTATTCCTGAAAGTGGCTTGAAAGCAAAAATCCACAGTGAAGCTTCTCTCGCAGGTACTCTAGGATCCACGCCTCCAGCACGTTGAACAACTCAGGCTGATACCACTCCTCCTTGGGATCTGATGAGCGAGTCACCCCAACATTTGCGGGCTGGTCTTGAACACCCTCCGTCGTCGCGTTTGCTGCCTCCGGTTCACCTGATGGTCGTTCTTGTTCGTCGTGCCCCCCCGTCAGTACATGCGCAACTTCACCTGGAGCATGGCATACACCATTGCCTGCCAACTGCCCGATTGCAGGCTCGCCTCCTGAGACGCGCTGCTGCTCCGTAGCCTGACCAGCCGCATCTATCGGCTGCTCATCTGCCTCTTCTTCGCTCATATCCGCTGTGTTGACTAGAGAGCACTTGCCGCTCTTATCGTCTACGCCGCCCTGCCCCCCAGCTACCCCCAATACTCCAATGCTATCTTGGGGGCCACTCGCGCGAGCGGGTGACTGCCAAGGTCGCAACGATTGGGAAACCCGAAACAGGTTAACAAAAAACGGCGGTATGTTCTTCAGAAAACGGCGGGGCCACCTAAAACGAACCAAGCATGGATATACAGATATCTAGCATGAGTGAACAAAGTAACAATTTCAGAGAAACATACTTGCCACCTACCTGGCTATAATCAGTTCACAACAAAGCACACCAATTGGAAGGTATCACAAAAACGGAGCAGAAAAGACAACGCAACAAGGTGCTCCGCCCCCCCCCCCCCCCCCCCCGCCCCAAAAAAATGTACCAAAACCAAAAAGTTGACAAAACTTAATGCCAGGGGGGGGAGCATTAAAAGCCGCAAAGGGGGTCGAAATATATACCCCAGGTTGGGTAAAAAAACCCACCCCGGGGAACCATATTTTGAAACTCGTTTTCTCCGCAGGGAAAACCCTGACGGGGCCCAAAAAGGGGGGGTTTGAACCATCTTATTGGGAGCTTTTCCAAAAAGGAAACCTT